GATGATAGAGGGCTCATCTGTGGGGAGTTGGCCCACTGAGAGCGTTCGTATGCCGGGCCACTACGGGCGTGTGGCGCAGGTGGGGGCAACGAATCAAAGGGACTCCGACGAAGTAGAACCAATCATACCTGCATAGTTCCCTCTATGGGACAATGAGGCTCACACGAGCCAGCCAACAGACATTACTTGTTTGGCAAACATCTTTCTACATTCTTGATAATACCAACATTGGCCAGGCCTGGTCAGAGCATGTTCAATTCGGCTTTTTGGTCAATTTGCGGATCGATGAGGCCCCGTGCAGCTGTGGATAGGTCCTACGCACCTTATCCAGACCTAGGAGGTGCACAGCCAGCGCTTTGGGACGGACAACGGGACCAAGGAACAGTGGTACCAACCAACGCGTGCCATGCCTACTTGGTGACTTACACGGTGGCTTTGTTCTTTGGTCTCATGGGCCCAAACACGACGAACCGAGAAGCATTTTGCATCAACTCTATCAAGCCGCTACTGATGATCCGGCTAAGGAGTGCCTAGCTAGAGTGCCGTCCGCTCCTTTAACCGGTCCACACCACGGCCGATGGCGGCTATGCTCACGAAAATGTAGAATGCCTAGGTGGTGTACAGACTTCACACAGCCTCTGATCAGCTATGAGCAAGTTCGCAGTCCGGATATTTGGTGGAGAAAAGTAAGATCTTGGTATGATTGTGATAGAAAGCGCCATGGTCACTTGGCTACGCAAAAGGCTTCACTCTTGGTCATGACTATGCTGGTGCAACCTGATCGGCACCTGGTCACATCAGCTGTTGCCTGAGTCATCGCCACGATGGAGAGGGTGACATGGAATTGAAAGAACAAAGGAAGAGAACAAAGGAACGGACAGCCCAACCAACCTGTAGTACTACAGCACGGTAACTATAGTACATATATCATGGTAGGCCGCTTCTCCCACTGCGATGCAACCAATCTCTACACTCTTCTAACGCCCATTCATATCGAACAGACGCGCAAAATCGCACACCCGACGCCTTCCCACAGCCTAGACAACATGGTCAAGGCCAAAAAGCTCCAAAACGGTAGAACAGAAGGAATGGATAAGACACAGCTCTATGGGGAAGAGTTCGATGACACCTCCATGATAGACAGCCTATCAGTCAGGTCATCTTCAACGTTCGAGTCAGACGACGATACATACATCAATGCTCGAAGAGAGGATGATGCATCTGTCAAAGGACTCTCTACAAAAGATCCCATAGACCCCTCTATCATGATACACCCTCTGAAAAGCAGGGACGGGGTCTTGGTCAAGGTAGAACCACCGGTGGATCCATCATTCGAGCTTTCTGGTGAGCATGTTCCATGTGACATTGTCTTGGTCATCGATGTCTCTGGGAGTATGAGCGATCCAGCCCCTCCCCCTGCGAACGGGAATTGCGAAGGAAAACCTGTTGAAGATAATGGCCTTTCCGTGCTGGACCTTACAAAACATGCCGCTCGCACTATCCTGGAGACCCTTAACGAGGGCGATAGGCTTGGAATAGTCACATTCAACCACGATGCGCAGGTGAGACCGCCACTACAACACACCAGAAATTGAGGGGATGCATGCTTACACATTGACAGGTCATTCAAGGTCTTCAACACATGACGGTCGAAAATAAGAGAAACGCGCTAGCGAGCATCGATAGGATGAGAGCCTGGAACACGACGAACATATGGCGGGGGATTCGTGAAGGAGTTAGATTGTTCAGCAACAAAGCGTCTGATAACGGCGCTGTGCCTGCCCTGATGGTTCTGACCGATGGGCAACCCAACATCCTGTAAGCTGAGGAAAACAAGTGCGTGATGCCTTTGCTGACCAGTGTATTGAACAGCCCTGAAAACGGACACATTAACAAGATAATGTCATTGGGACCCCTTCCAGCGACTATACATACCTTCGGCTTTGGGTATGATATAGATAGTTGCCTCCTCAAGTCGATCGCCGAGGTAGGAGGCGGCAACTTCGCCTTCATCCCGGATGCTGGCATGATCGTAAGCGCGCCTCTTCATTTTCTCCAAAAGTGACTAACAAAGTGTACAGGGCACTGTATTTGTACATGCAGTTGCACACCTGCAATCGACATTCGCAATCAATTGCGTCCTTGAGATCACGACGCCCAAGTCCGTACGGCTTGAGACAACCGCTGGGAAAACAATGGAAGACCAGAATGCCGAGGATGGCATCTGCAACAAGGTAACCATCAAGCTTGCAAACATGCAATGTGGACAATCTCGAGACATTTTCTTGAAGATGTTACCGGGCGCGGAGAGCGGCGTCAAGGCCATTGCCAATGCCAAACTCACCTACTCATTGATGCGACATCCTCTCCATGTCATCACCGCCCGTAACTTATCCGAGCCCTCGGAATTACCAGATTGTATCATCGCATATCACCAAAGCCGCTCGATGATCTGCTCATTCCTCTCGTCCTTTGTTGAACTTGACCGCCAAAAACACGAATACAAGGAAGTCGCCTCTTGCTCCATGGACGAATACAACAGCAAACTACAGGAGCTCCTGGGGAACATCCCGGCCGCAAGATATAACGACGAATTGAACACATCCCTCATGGAGGATCTCCAGGGACGAGAACCAGCAGGCCAGATCAGCTTGGCTATCTCAAGGAGAGATTATTTCGGGAGATGGGGTCTTCATTACTATCTCAGTCTCTGGAATGCACATGCGAAGCAATTGTGAGTACACTTATCAGTATCGCTGTGTCTGAAGCAGTCACTGATCACCCTGATCTTACAGATGTAACTCCTTCAAGGACCCCGGGCCGTTAAAGTATAACCGGTTCCCCCCTTTTATCAAATGTCTAGAAAAACTAGACGATGCATTTGATGACATTCCACCACCACGGCCGTCCCGCAAGCCCGCATCTGGTAGTGACAAGAAACCACCAGCCGACATGTCTGATTACAACAAGGTTACTAATCCATGTTTCGCCTCTTCGAGCAGAGTGGCATTAGAAAGTGGTCACGAAGTGCCGATATACAAACTTCGTAAAGGAATATCGATCCAGACGCCTGCTGGAGCACGACGAGTTGAAATCGTCTTGAGAACGAACGTGAGAGGGATCGCCATGTGCAAAGTGGGAGATCTACTGGTCACTCCGTGGCACCCTATCCTATCGGAAGACGGGGGATGGAAATTTCCGGCCCAAGTCACGGATGAGGTGGTGCGGTACTCTGGCTCCATATACTCTGTTCTCTTACAGCCAGACAAGAACGTTGAAGCCCACGCCCTGAGAATCCAGGGCTCGTGGGGCGTCACTCTGGGCCATGGGCTTACCAGTGGCTCGGACGTGCGTGCTCACAAATTCCTCGGGAATTATCATGCTGTGGCTAGAGCTCTTAAGATGCTCAGGCCGGATAGGGATGGAGTGGTGTTCTCCAGTGGTGTGAAGCGATCAAAACATAATGGATTGGTGTGTGGATTCACGAGACCGTTGAAGCGGTCAATTAGCTAGATTGACGAAGCTCTTTAGGGCTTTCAATATGCGACCGCCAATGGGTCTGATAGCAGAGTAGACACATCACTGATTGGATTGGGAGATGGGAATGATTCGAAAGACCACGAGAATGCCGTCACACGGTCGAGCCACTGGGATTGAAGACAATCAATATTAGAAATGTTTCATTTTTTAATTCTTTACAAGCTGTGACAGCTTCATGACTTTCAAACAGTGCTGGAGTGGTGATGTAATCTAGCCAGCCCAACGGCTGCTGCCGCCGCTAGAGCATTGAGATCAGGAACCCCAGCCACTTAGCCCCAGATCCTTTGTATTTCGAGGCATTTGACCTTGGCATAGCGCCAGCAAAGCCAGCGAGGAATGCCAGGCGTCATAGATCGATCGTGGACTGATGATGGCTTGAAAAGGTAGGTAGGTACATAAACTACACAAATGGCCCTCCTTGTCGCATTGTAGTAGCCCGTCACTTCATACACATGCGTCGAACACTATCTACGATTGTTCCGCAAACACATTCACCACTCCGTCAAGTCCAATTTCACACCGTGACGCCATACAAAATGCCTTCATCCAAGGGAAAACCCACCGACCCCGAGCTTCGGGAGCAGTTGAAAGAGGGCAAGAAATCATGAATCGGCACCTATGCCACAATACATGTCAAGCATACTGACTTTTTGACAGAAATCAAGCAAGAGCCCAACAAGTCCGGTGGTGGAGAAGGACAGTGGGCTGCATGGAAGGTGAGGAACCACACCAACGCATCTGTAGACGGGTGAACTGGATCGAGTCACTCATTGCATTATGGCTACGTTACTGACTCCTCCATGTATATAGGCGTCTAAGCTGGCTAAGGAGTATGAGAAGCAGGGAGGAGACTACGAGAATGAGCCTGGCTCCAAGAATGAGCCCAAGAAGGGAGATCCGGAGCCGAAGAGCGAATCCAAGAAGAAGTCGGAAACATAGAGGCTAATTGATTGTGATGATCAAGATGGCTGAGGAGAGGATGAGATACCACTTCCAATTGACTAATTAACCGAGATCAAGACTTTGTACCTCTGGCACTTTTGGTAGTGGTCTGGTATGTGTATAGTTGAGGTATTCTTCCCCAGCGTACTAGATGTGGTTCTAGATATCGATCTCCATCATCGTGAAGCTGCGGATTCTTCCCCAGGTACCTTCTTCCCCTTTAGCTGTTGTTGCCAGAGACTTGCATGACAACCTGCATCTAAGGAAACAAGCGGCATTTACGATCTGCTACTTACTTACAGCAGGAATAAACCCGCCTATTTGCTTTCAGTAGATGAATAATCATAAGACGAAAACTTGCCATTAATACCTAATTAGAGGTAGTGAAGTGATCTATCACGTTGGTTCCTCATCCTGAATGTCTACAATTTGAATTAATGCCTCGATATCAACCTTCTCCCATACACTCTTCTACTTAGGGACATGGGGCATGGTAAGGGTAAGAAATTCCAATTATAGTCGGGGTAGTGTAGTGGTTATCACATTGGTTTCACAGATCGATCAATATGACTGTGTACTCACCAAAGGTCCAGAGTTCAAACCTCTGTCTCGACAATTTTTCTTTTCTTATCCATTTGCCTACCAAGAGGTATGGCAGAATCGATGTTATAAAAATGATATTATGAGTTAGAAGTGTGTTTCGAACGGAAACTGTATTCATTATCTTAAATTTGCTGGTTTTAGGTCTGTCCTTCTGCCTATTCCAAAGCAAAAGAATACGCCGCCTATGAGTGATTGAGCCTTAGACACCTAGATCATCCGAAATCAACTGACTTTATTTATGGCTTTGCTCTTCAAAATTTGGGTTCAATATGCCTCTGCTCAATGAGGAATGTTCTGTTGATAAAGCTATATGTAATGTTGAATTTGCATCGAAGTGATACCCAAAGCATGTACTACAGCGTGGTATGGGGCTTGGTTGACCAATGCCACCTGCAAGGAACAGCCGCCAGCACTGTGGCTGAAGCTCTTGGTGTTGGAGGTAAGGGGTGGGTTGGTCTGGACAGGGGTCTTGGGGGAAGCTGGGGCGGCGGCCCGCTGAGGAGCATGGAGAGCTTCCACCGTCCGACGTTTCGTGTCAACTTCCAAGTGAACCCGACTTTCTGTCCAATTCTCCTTTTCCTTTGTCTGGAGCATCTTCTTTGCACCACCTTTACAGCCCAAAATGCACCAATCTCAGGCATTGATGCTCTTGGGCATCATCGCCCAGAATGGGATTGTCACTGCCGCATCATTACCACGGGGAGTCGGCCCTGAATGTAGGTAACCTTGTGCTCTCTTGTCTCTTATGTACTTTCATGTGCTTGCAGCCCCCACCATCGATTGAACCCCAAAGCTGGGAGGCAATGCAAAAGGCATCAACAGCAGAAAGTCCTCTGACCTACCATATCAATGCTTTGCACGAACGATTCTTATGTAAATTGATCATGAGCTAACGAATTGGCTTCATATAGTCGTCAAATTCTACGAACTCAAGGACAAGTTTGCTTGCATTGGCCACCCTGCCATTACTATCTCTGCCTCCCAGGTTAACGATAACACCTGCGATTGTCCCGACGGTTCAGACGAACCTGGCACTGCTGCCTGCGCCCTGCTAGATCATCTCTCGCCTGTACAACCTCTGCCCGCTTCCCTGTCTGGCTCCACCAACACCAGTAATGCCCTTCCTGGTTTCTGGTGTGCCAACAAGGGCCATATCGGTGCCTACGTCCCCTTCATGTACGTCAATGACGGCGTTTGCGATTACGAACTATGTTGTGATGGTAGCGAGGAATATGGCAACGCGGGCGGTGTCAAGTGCCCCAATAAGTGTGCCGAGATTGGCAAGGAATGGAGGCGGGTAGACAAAGAGCGCAAGGACAAACTCGAGCGGGCCAACAAGAAGCGACGGACTATGGCCAAGGAATCTAGGGAACTCCGGAGGCGAGTGGAAGCTAAGATCACCACCCTCCAATCCGAGATCAAAGAGCTCGAGGTGAAGCGTGACGAGCTCAAGAACAAGCTGGAAGAGGTTGAGCAGTCAGAGCGTGGCAAGGTTGTGAAGAGCGAGGGCACTGGGAAGCTTGGCGTGCTAGCTGGACTGGCCAAGACAAGAGTCGGCGAGCTGCGGGACGGTCTGAGCAAACTTATGGGCGAGCGTACTCAGCTGCAAGATCGTGTGACTGAACTGGAGGGTATCCTGTCTGCCTTCAAAGAGGAGTATAACCCCAACTTTAATGATGAGGGTGTCAAGAAGGCCGTACGGTCGTGGGAAGATTACGCAGCCAAGAAAGTGGATGAAGTCAAGGAAGCGATAGATGAGGGCGATCTGCTCGAGATCATGAAAGAGGATAGTGAAACTTCGGGGATCAACTGGAAAGAATTTGAGGATGACGAGGTCACCGACACAGACATCCGTACGTACCCCGGCATCACTTATCAGAGTTTCATCACTGACCTTCACCACAGTTTACAGCTTTGAGGCGTACCTTCCCGGTCCTCTTCGGGATTTTGTGCATGGCAAGATCAACCTTCTTCGAATATGGCTCATCGAGAACGGTATGCTCGCAGATAGTAATGCCGGGAAGGGAGAGTCACGACTAGTGAAGGCTGCTCGAGAGGCCCACGACGCTGCTAATAACGATGTCAACTCGAAGCAGAAAACTCTGAATGAGCAACAGTCTGACCTGGAGAAGGACTATGGTACAGATGACATCTTCCGCTATCTCAAGGGCAAATGCGTATCCACTGAAGTCGGCGAGTACACATACGAGCTCTGCTGGCTCGACAAGACGTATCAGAAAAGCAAGAAGGGTGGCGGGAAGACCAACATGGGACATTTCGATCGCATAGAGACTGGTGAGGCAGACGAGGAGGAGCGCCTCGATGGTCAGGGTCTTGGCCGCGGGCAGCGGATAGTCATGAAATACGAGAATGGACAGCACTGCTGGAACGGCCCTAACAGGCGGACAGAGGTATGGCTAGCATGTGCTGAGACGGAAGAGCTGTGGAGGGTCAGCGAGTTGGAGAAGTGTGTATACAAGATGGAAGTAGGCACACCAGCAGCATGTGAGGAAGCGGTTGAGCCTGGCCATGCCAAAGACGAGCTATAGCGGATGCTAAAACAGATGAAGGAGAGAGACAAGCGCTCCATGTGTTTGTTTGCATCTCAGAATGCTGTGTGTAGGTAGATGGGTCTCGTGCTAGAATCCCGTCAATATGCCTAGGGAATCATGAATACCAATAGAAAGGGGGCTAAGATCATGAGTCATGTATCATTTTCGTAGTCGTGATTTTGTCCAATACATTCATGATATCATGAGGGCCAGTAATTATATACAATCTTGTAGACCTGTGTCGTACCCAGTACATACTCATCTCACGGCCTGGATCTTTCTCCTCTTGTTTCTCTCCTCCTGCTCGGCTAGGACCTTGGCTGTCAAAGAAGCCGTCATTGAGTTGTTTATCCTACTGGAGATATCGTCTTTCACCTTCTCCTTGTCTTTTCCTACTGTACCTTTGCGCTGACTGGGATCGTCATGACCAGCCTTGCGCTTCTTCTTGCCTGCACTCTTGTCCTTTTTCAAGGAGTGAGTCAGTCCAAGCGACTTTAGTTCTTCAATCCTCTTGGTGCACTTCTCAATATCTGCAGCTTCTGCTGGCAAGATAGGAATCGCGTCGCGCTCGAGAAATGGTTCGCTGCACTCTGGACAGGTCCTGTCTGTTTCTGAGGCTGCTGTATCGCCCGATGACAACGGCGTGATTTCTTTCATGGCCACTTCTGCAAAGACATGCCCGCACGGGACAAGGTAGACAGCCTTAGTACTGGCACCCAGCTCCTTCATGCTTACGGGACAGGCGCGCACTTCTTTCCCGTCATCGTCCTTGCGCAGGCTGAACTTGAGCTTGACCACGTCCTTCAGGCTGCTGATGCCGGCGCGCGCGAACTCTGCCTCTTGCGCCTCGGGGATGGCAGACGAGGGGGAGGGCAGCAGACACTGCAGGATGGACTCGTAGGCGTAGAGCCGGCCGTGGGCGTCAGATACGGTGGTGGAGGGCTCGAGGGGCTCTGAGGAGAGAGGGCAGAAGGTCCAGAGGTGTGTCAGGTTCTCGAGGACGGTGGCCTTCAGCTCGGAGGTTGTGGGTGTGCGGGCGGCGTTTTTGACGAGCTCGCGACGCTTGGGGATGGAGCCGCCGTCGTTACCCATGGTGATCGGCTGTGCCTATGTTAGAATCGGGCTGGTAGAGGAGTTCGCTTGTGGTAATGGTAGTTTTCACAGCTCTTTGCGCCAGAAACTACTTAGAAATATCAAAGGCAACGTAATTCTGGACGCAGCAAGGTTTGGGCGCTCTTTGGCGAGAGAGAACCTGGATGAGGCGAGTGAGTGGCTGGAAGTTGCAAAGACGATGAGTCCATTTCAGAACGTCACAGTGCAGTATCCAATGGCCTGCATCGATAAGATAAAGCTATGAACTATGGGTCTCTTTAGTGCAATTGGAGTTCCCCGCCATGTCCACTAAACCATGCTATTGTTGATTACACAGTACTCTCAGCCGTACATGTACGGTACTGACATGGATAGTCCCACCACGTGCCTGTGGCAGCAGCCATGCCCACGTCGAGCTGCTGTAACATTAGCATTGTCACTTGGGTCGACGTCCGCCTGGGCATATGACAGCAACCTCTCAGCCTTTCTTGAATCTACTTCTATCCAATACATTGACCTGCCGGCGTAGCAAACACAACCGACGCCTCCTTAATTTTCACCACAGATTGGGAATCTGTATCGCACCACCTTTGACACCTTCAGAACCTCTGGCGACGTCTTGCGATCCAGCATCGCAAGCTACTTGTCGCACCCTTCATGCAGTTGTAACCCGCACTCTGCTGAAGCTGTCCCGCTGGACGCGCCTGAGGCATCATGGCGCAACAGCAGCAGCAGATGGCCCTTGATGCCCTCGATACTATCACAAGGGAACTGAAGTCAAGGTTCGTTGCTCATCATCCCTTTCAACCGTTCTGCTTGTGCTTCTGCTGACCTTTCGCAACTCTGAAACAGATGTAGTGAAGAGGTGCGAAAACGAGCTGCCTCTGATCTGAGAAACCTGGTTTCTACATGCTATAGAGGTGCGCAAACATGGCTACTTGCACCCCTTTGCTTACTCTCCCTGCTATAAAGTAGTCGGGGACATGACGGTAGTTTCACAATATCTAACCATGCTGTTTTCTATGCTCAGATTTCCCTACCGAACAATTCCACATCCTTTACAATGCCGTCAATAGCAAGATTACCAACCTTATGCTCCATGGCAACGACTCCTCCGAACGACTTGGCGGCGTGTACGCCCTTGATGCCCTTGTTGAATTCGATGGCGTCGATGTAACCGCCAAATACACTCGTTTCACGGCCAACCTGAAGACCATTTTAAGAGGCAAGGACCTTGTACCCATGCAGCCCGCCGCCGTAGCTCTCGGTAAGCTATGCAGACCTGGCGGCTCCCTGATCTCCGAACTTGTCGATTCCGAGGTCAAGACGGCGCTGGAATGGCTACAGTCCGACCGAATCGAGGAGAAA